CCCTTGAATAATATCTCTTTCTACGTTAAATGTACTTTTTGGCTTTCAATTATAAGTGTGACTTTTCACCTTATTATTTCTTACTTTTTTTTATATGCATGATCATCTATAGGTTATATACTTGCTGTGAACCCTGTATTTACTTAAATAGTAAAGTAAACCTTTATGAGGGAGTTTCAGTGACTGCAGGCGAAATACTCAGCCTTTCAGACCAAGGCTGATTTCAACAACAAAGAACAAAAAAAAATCTAGGGAAATCCTTCAGTACATCTACGTTGATTCTGGGGGCATTCGTTTGGCCTCTGTAAGTTATTACACAGCAAAAACTTAGAATTCTAGTTGATCAGACAATATGGTAAATATATTCTCTAGTTTAACTGTCATTAAGTCTGTTAGGTACTAAAGGGAATCACGTCGGTAAAAGATAAAAAACTTTGCTCGACCATAAATAACTGAAGGCCAGTACTGGGAATAATTCATATGAGCTAATTACAAGAGAATTGTGGGGAGAATGACCGTTATGACCCCGATATCATCAATCTTGATAAACCACGGCCAACTAGAAATGATGGATTACTTATAACAAGAAGTGAAAGATTGATTGAAGCTTTCTGAGAAAAATTCCTTATTTCCTCAAGAAAAATCACCTTCCACTACCTCTTCAAATTGTATTTTTTAAATTTTTAAGTGATCTGAAAATCGTCAATTAAGAACATCAAAAGTAAAAAAAAAAAAGAATGAACAAGCCTGCCCTGGAAACTCCATATCCCACCTCCCCGAGGTTAAGTACACAAACCCTTCAAAACCTGCTTTTTGATTGTGATGTTTTTACGGAAACTGCATACCCGGTTAGGTATTGTTTTATTGTTTGGTAGAGCATACAAAAAACTCCCAGGGGGGTACTTCCCTATATTCGCCATACGGGTACATGCTGCCAACCATGGTATCGCTTTCAGCGATTTTACTCTGGAACTGGGTATCGTTTTCAGCGATTTTACTCTGGAACAGCAGGGGCGGATCCAGCCGGTGGGTGCAGGGGGTGCACACCCCCCCTGAGATCTGTATCCTTCAATACTTTCCTTATTTTGTATCTTCATGGTGATAATTTTTTGTGGGTTGCACCCCCTTCTGAGAGCCCTGCACCCCTCCCTGAGGAAAATCTTGAGCAATACGTAGAATTACAGCGTGAAAAACCTAATTGTTGCTCATATCAATGACTGAGCTAAATGAATACAAATGGTTCCTTTGCAAGTTCTGTTTTGCTGAATATTAGCCTCATATGCCAGGAGATTYCCAGGAAGTTGGGACAACAAGATGACGTTATAAATTGTTGTATTTTAAATTAAAAGAAATTGCTTGAAGACTTGAAATTCCCTGCGCTTAAAATGATTAATTCTTAAAATGTTCGAATATATTTGACATTGGTGGTTAATAGTATAAAATACTCCATGAAACAAAATTTGACTATTAGAATATGATAAAGGAAGCAATGCCAATTAGATCATACTAAAGGTGTATTAGTTAAATAAATATATATTTCATAGGTTTTTTTGACCTCACTCTAGTGTAGTTACATTGAGCCTGTTCGTTAAAAATAGTCGCTTTTGTTTTACTTTAATTTGACCTTGTAGATTGCACTTAAAATAACTACAGTCAACTTTCACCTTACGGACACCCATCTATTACGACACCTCGATAGTACGGTGCGCGCGGGGCGAACATGCTTAACTTGTCAACATAGAGCGGGCGGGAAAATGTCTGTGAAAGCAGGACCCATTAGCCATGAATATATTTTTTTCGCGTCGTTGCACCAGTTTCGGTCCCGGCGTCAGACCATGGACTATACAAATTTAAAGTCTACACTCAAGTTAATTTCTCGCAATAACCAAACAAAAATTTGCAATCTTGTGTTTCAGTTCCCTGGMTTTAGTACTTTTTTATCAACTTTCTTTACAACTGGAACCCAAGACTCTAGAAAACATCTGCAATGAACTTGTTTACTTTGCTGAAAAATACCGCTTTCTGGAGCCCTCGTGGTTTCATGTTATGAAACCCTTACCTGTTAATCTAACAGCAAATTGTAAAGTCATTCTTTTATACACGCCATACTTTAGGTCAATGCCTTGGTCTCAGACGAAAGGAATGGAGTTCAACCTGAAAGGACCTTCCGGTCGGCCATGCAAAGTGTCGAGTTGCTGTATCTCGTACTCGCGTAAGGATCTACACAGAAGTGACGCTGTATTATTCCACGAYCRGTCACATCTTATGCCGTGGGCGAGCGAACTTAGAGACCTTGTGCATCATCGAMAAAAAGGACAAAAATGGGTTTGGATGACAGAGGAAAATCCCGTGAACTCGGATCAGGCTCAAATCTCAAAGTTAAACAACATTATARATATTACAATCACTTATCATMGAAAATCGACTATCCGCAGCCGCTATGGACATTATTTACTAGATACAAAGACTTCTCGAGTAAAGCAAGTTGAAAAACAACTCAAAGAAAACGCATTTTCGTCCGGAAAGGACCGCTTGGTTTTATGGTTTGCCAGCAATTGCGTGACACCCAGATTAGATATCATAAAAAGTATAGCAAAGTACATCCAAGTGGATGTGTTTGGCGGTTGTAAGAAATACTTTTATAACCAAAGAGCAGGCCATTGTGGTAAATACAGTTCCGATTGTCTTGCGTTGGCCAAACGCTATAAATTTTACCTGGCGATTGAAAATCATCAATGTGAGGATTACGTTACAGAGAAATATTGGAGGAACGCTTTGTCACGCAATCTTGTCCCGGTYGTTATTGCCGGAAAGTACAATAAAGACATCATGATACCTGGTTCGTATATTGATATATTGGATTTCCCAAATGCTAAGTCCCTTGCAAACTATCTAAGGTACCTCGACTCGAACGATACAGCGTATAATATGTACTTTGAGTGGAAGAAAACCTACTCGTCGGTGGATGAAAGTGTTCCGAGCTGGATTTGCGATTTATGCGAGTTTCTTCACAAGAATCACTCACTAGACAATCTTAAGTGGGATATAGGAAAATTTTGGGGAGTAGAGAAGAACTGCCTGGCTGATGAAGAATACATAAAAACCGTTTGGCTTAAGTCACAAAGCAATTTATGTTGTTTGGCTAGTTTTCGAATCGTCATTCTTTTTATCGTATTTTTTGTTATATTCTGAAACTGTAATTAAAAGTATTGTTGGTTGCCTGAGAAAGTTTTTGATAAGGTGCAGAAAAAGGAYGTAAGGTAGAAATAACTGAATATAAGGCAGAAATAACTGGATTCGCTCTGATTTTATAAACCCATAATCCACTTGGGTTGCAGGTGACGTCATAGTCAAACAAMAAATCTCGATAAAATCCAATATATTTTTTCTAAAGAGCTCTTCTTACAGTATATCTTAAATATACCTCTAGATAGTGTGTATGCAAATTTTCATACGAATTCAACGATTTGGTGGCGAAACACATTTAAGTTTTAAGTACTGAGTTTAATTTATTCTACTTTTAGATCGTAAAATATGAACATCGATATTATATCATTCTTTCAACTCCGTAAAAACTTATACTTAAGATGATTTCTTTGAAATAAAGCCAAAATGGACAAAAGGAAACCAGTTTTTGAAGTCAATTTGAAATCAGCCGCCATCTTGGATGATCAAAGTTGTCCTCCAAGATGGCGTCCTCGTACAAATTAAACAAATATTATTCAAATCTTTTTTCGCGTATATCTTCATCAAGAAGTAAGCTACAAGACCTAAAACTCGTATTCTAGATAATCTGACTATGCTTATGACTTGCTAGTTGGTTTTTAAAAATCAGTAACGACTGGTAAATTGATTTTCACTCCAAGATATTCTGTCTGAGGCGGATTAAAATTTACATTACTACTCTTAACTGTCGTTATGCTTCACACACGGGTCGTTGTCTCTCGACACGCTTCCTTTTTACGATGAAATCAGGGAATTCAATCATATTCAACCAGTGTACATAATCGATCTCTTATTCCCCTGTGTGTACGTGTATTCCCCTTATCTTTGTTTCTTTCTTCAGCTCTTCGTTATCATATTAGTTAAAAGATGACACTTGATCGGGCTTTTTTGCTGCGCACCAGGCTAAAGTGGTAGTGACTTTACTTTTAACGTGACTTCAATCAATTAAATTGCTATCATGTATTGGACGCGTCATTTAACAGACGGTAATAGATCGCTCTATAGACCTCTGCAGCTTTTGCGTCGTGTACCGTATACGCAATGCATTTGTTTGGGACAAAACATGGCGGATTTCTTTTGTTTTCTCTTGAAACTGATCCCACAATGCATTGAAAATCAAGTAGTGACGTAAAAGGTTCAAAAGTCTATTCTTCGTTTTCAAGTGACGTCACAGCGGCCATCTTGGAGGGACTTCAGCAAAGGATTTCACATTAGTATCTATCCTTTGAACATGGCCGCCGGTCTTTTGTCCGTCTTTTGAATGTCATGGGGATGTATGAAAACGATGGCAATATGACAAGGAATCTGGAGCGTTCCTGGATTCCGGATTCCACGAAAGATTTTTGACAAAAGTTCCTTGGATTCCACTAGCCGCCTCCCCAGGTAACTCTTTTTCCTCATTTGGGCTTCCATTGAAATGGTCATTGTAATGTTCATCTTGGTCGGTCACCCTCCCCTGCTCCCCCTTCTTTTGATTACCAAAAAAGACAGGAAGCCCGTGATTCTTAGTGTGATGCCTGCGGAGGAGGTTATTCCACCCCTTCTTTACTTTGCATTTAGTGTTTTTTTTATTCATTTCTCTAGTTTCTTCTTCTTTTTGGGGATTCTTTTTTTTTATATATATATAACCAAATTGCATTTAATGATTTTGGCCTTGGCCCATTACTAGTAATGGGCTCCTGTTTTGGTTTGATAATTCAGTTTTTTGTTTCCGGTTTTTACGTCGAAAACCCTCCCCGCCATTGCAACTCTGAAAGTCTTATGAAGCCCATTTTGAATAGGATAACCCCCTCAAAAATACCACACGCACATGAAAATAAGTTATTTTGAGACAAAAATGTAAGTGAGACTCAGGACAATGTCATACGTACCCACAGGCAGAACTTTTGCTGTCTAGCAGTCACCAGCCCAACGAAAAAAGTCGGAAATTCCCCGAGTTCTAGTTCAGGACCTTATTTCCGAGCATGCGTCTAAGATATTTTTTTTTCATATCACGGGCATCTCGGAATCGTATATTAAAATCAAGTACTKACAAGCGTAACACAACAAAAGACTTTTATTTTGTCATTTCTCATTTTTTTATACATTCCCTTTTCGATTTCGAGTTTCGCTTAAACGAATATCACTCTAAAAAGGGAAATAATCTGTTTTGACTTCTCCAAACAACGCACTTACTTTTTTAACATACATTCGTAAGATAGTTTCTTATTTAATTATCATCTGGATTTTTCTTATTTTGTACACGTGAGGCTATGGAATCTATGGCGACTTATGACACTTCCATTGAACAGAGCACCAAAAAATAACCCTTGAATAATATCTCTTTCTACGTTAAATGTACTTTTTGGCTTTCAATTATAAGTGTGACTTTTCACCTTATTATTTCTTACTTTTTTTTATATGCATGATCATCTATAGGTTATATACTTGCTGTGAACCCTGTATTTACTTAAATAGTAAAGTAAACCTTTATGAGGGAGTTTCAGTGACTGCAGGCGAAATACTCAGCCTNACATACATTCGTAAGATAGTTTCTTATTTAATTATCATCTGGATTTTTCTTATTTTGTACACGTGAGGCTATGGAATCTATGGCGACTTATGACACTTCCATTGAACAGAGCACCAAAAAATAACCCTTGAATAATATCTCTTTCTACGTTAAATGTACTTTTTGGCTTTCAATTATAAGTGTGACTTTTCACCTTATTGAAATAAGGATATCAATYTATACCCTTCCCATAATACTTTGCACTGAACACTAGACCACAATGCTTTGCAAACATAAATGGTCCRCAATGCATTGCAAAATGACGACATCTTTTGATAAAACTCTGCGATTCTAAAATAAATCAACTTATTTACTGTCTACAATAACATCAAGAAATGTACAAACATGGAATAATATGATTTAAAACGAAATTCCTTTTCCGAAGTCTGCGCAAAGTATTATGGGTAAAAGCACGTGTTGGCTGTTCAGATGGGTTTGGAAATGGGTGAATGTACCAATTGCGACTAAAATACAGTACATCTTTTTTTTACTCTAAGCTAATGAATTCTGACAATCTTTTTTGTTACAATAAAGCTAGGCTAATTCATCGAGTACAAACACCCACACTTAACCACTGCTTTATATATATATATTGTACGACTTGTTATTTCATGGCTCCAATCAATGTTAGTGCTTTAGAAGACTTAATCAAGTGTGCTCTAGAAGACTTAATCAATTGAYGAGAGAGTAAGACGAAACATGTTTTCAATTGCCGGGAAAAAAAGCCGATGATTAAAAAAAAGTAAGCAAGCAAAATGATGGGCCATTTCAAAAGGGACATATAGTGTTGTGCMGTTGCAAGAGAACACCGTATTTAGGCACTATATAGGACACCACGGTGGGGAACCTAAAGGATGCCTTATAGTGACCCTATATGAGGACACTATTTGAAACACTGTGTAAACACTTGATATAGGTTACATCTTGCGTGGACACTAGGGCACTATATATAGGGCCATAGAAAAAAMCCCAGGGACATTCTACAAGGGCACCATATGAATACCACGTCTGGGCATTGTGACGCCGCCTTTTATAGGGACATCATATAGGGCCACTATACTCTTGMACGGCTTGAAAATGGTGCCTTCAATGAAAGGCCTGGATGCGCAAATCGGTCTCGAGAACGAGAAAAGAACTGAAAAGTCCTGGCAAGTTTAAAAAATTCAAAGACGATATCTTTCGGATGGAAAAAACCTTTTTTTACGTGAATAATAATAATATTATTAATGATAATAATTCATCTACTAAAGAATCAGAAATTCTAAGTCTAACTACAATAATAGCGGCCAAAGTGTGAACTTTAAGTAGACGGTAAGCTTTACATTATTTCTTACTTTTTTTTATATGCATGATCATCTATAGGTTATACTTGCTGTGAACCCTGTATTTACTTAAATAGTAAAGTAAACCTTTATGAGGGAGTTTCAGTGACTGCAGGCGAAATACTCAGCCTTTCAGACCAAGGCTGATTTCAACAACAAAGAACAAAAAAAATCTAGGGAAATCCTTCAGTACATCTACGTTGATTCTGGGGGCATTCGTTTGGCCTCTGTAAGTTATTACACAGCAAAAACTTAGAATTCTAGTTGATCAGACAATATGGTAAATATATTCTCTAGTTTAACTGTCATTAAGTCTGTTAGGTACTAAATGGAATCACGTCGGTAAAAGATAAAAAACTTTGCTCGACCATAAATAACTGAAGGCCAGTACTGGGAACAATTCATATGAGCTAATTACAAGAGAATTGTGGGGAGAATGACCGTTATGACCCCGATATCATCAATCTTGATAGCACCAAGATTTCAGATGTTTTTTAAAGAGTTTTGCATATAAATTACCCACCTAATACAGCCTTACACTAAGTTATATTCCTTAAGATTAAGCTGCAGGATCGTGTCTTTTACTGCCGCGAATACAAAACGAATGTTTTCAGTGTCGGTCGCACAAGTAAAATGAGAATAGATTATCTTGTCTGTATCTGGGTTTAGATCAACAAACATTTTAAGAATAAACTCACGGGCTGCCTGGGCGTCACACTGTGGACCTAAAAAAAAAAAAACAATGAATAACGTCAGCTGTTYCAGGAACAATTGCTAATAGAGTTGACGCATCAATACGTGAAACATAGAGTACTAATTACTACYAAATAGTATTGATTATAAAATATAAAACAAAAGAATTAGAGTGATCGCACTTAAACCTTGCAACTGTACAAACAAAATAGTGCTATTTAGTTGTATTTCAAAGTAAATCGTGCATGCGGTAGAGTGATCACACTTAATCCGTGCAACTGTATTGTATAGTCATAAAATTTAACTATTACACACAATATTAGACGCAAAARAAATCACTGATATTATGGATTTAGAGCGTACTAGAGGTGTATTAGTGTGTAAGTAATATCTATTTCACGGGTGTTTTGACTTCACTCTAGCATGATTTAGTACTATTATGTACTGTTTCACGGGAATAAGTATATTATAAGTATATAATAAATATATTTCGGTTAACGAGCTTATAAATTGTAAACAACTTTCACAAAAATCGCTTTACAAAATAAATTAAGCAGATTTCAAGACGCGAGCGCTCACTGGCGGGAAAGCTGTGGACAKGCGCAGTGCGTTTTTCACCAGTGTCCGTTCAACCACACTTAGCCTAGTTCCATCTCTTTACTCCGACAAAGGATTAACGTCCGAAACGTAAGTAAGTTATTTCATCTAATTTTTTACGGTGTTAAATTTATCTTTTTACAAAACTGTTTCTTTAGAAACACCGACGCAGCTCTGACACTAGTTTACCGCTAGTTCCCACCATACAAACATCTTTTGTTCATGTTGCAAAATATGACGTTGTTTGTACTGAAGCTAGACCACAATGCACCATGATTTTGTATTGTATTATCTTCTGACTAGGGATTTTAGGAAAAATCCACATTATTGAGTTCAATAGTGTACAGTGGAAAAATAGAAACAAACCACAACCTACCAGCATCCCTTACGAGCTTTTGTTTATGTTTTGAAAATGTAAAAAAACATCGTAATATAAGCAAAAACATACACTTTATTATCCCTTTATACTATATGGAAATATTGTAAGATTCGATCTTAAAACCGATTGATGGAAATGGATTGCGAATAGATATTTGGAAGTCACTTCATTTTCCAAATATGGAAAATCTAAAACACGACCGCATGGAATGCCGGTAAGTCATAGCCCTTTAAAATCTCGATCCAGGTAGCTTACCATCAAATTCTGGAAAGTAGTCTGACAAGTGGGAAAACATAATCTTCTCTTCTAACAGATCCTTCTTGTTAAGGAAAAGTATAATCGATGAATTCTGAAACCACGGATAGGTAATAATGGTCCGGAATAGTGCCTTACTTTCTTCCATACGATTCTAGAAAATAAAACACAAAGATTTGCTACAAACAATTGTATAACATTCGCGCGGGATACCTGTGTTTTTTTTTTGTGGGATTCCTTATTTTTAAGGATGGGAGGCCGGGGACTAGGACAAATTTATAATGGCCGACATGTTAAGTAATTTCTCTGCAAATTCTGTAAGTTTTGGCCATTTTAAAGCACTAAAAGGTGGAAAAAATGTGAAAAACACTTTCTAACGTACTTCATTATAAGGTAAGATTATCATATATTGTCAGCATACAATCTTAATCAACTTGTAGTCCATTGTTAAATATCTTTTTTACAGGTTTTTTGACCACACTCTAAAATTTTGTTCTCTGGCATCATATTTCAGAAAATAACAGCAACAATTAAGATTAAAAAAAAAACAACGCAAACAATATTGACAACTTATCATATATTTAAGCTTACCTAAAAGCAAATAACTTAACTTAAGTTCAATAATATTCTGATTTTGAAATCGCTTTTAGACAGCCTTAATTAAGTTAACTTACAATTGCACACAAACTTTCACCGTTTTCTTCACACACACAGTTTTTGAACGACAACAGAGTTTTGATATGATAAAAAAATATAGGATCTCAACTCTAGAGTTTAGAAGATTTGAACCGTGTTAAGTCTCTGTGTGAAATTTAAACTTAACTCAAGTTGTTCTTTTATTTTGCCCTTTGGTGAGATGGTAAGAATGCCACTTCATTGACTAACAGTCATCAGAGGTTAACAAAAGATTTCTAAATTACTCTAGTGTGTTTCCTAGGGAATGAATTGAAGCAGCTTCTACAATCATAAAGAATGATAATTTAAAATCTTAGGGCCTGTTAACACTATGACGTAATGAGAAACCGAAGCAGAAGCTTGTTCACACTTGACAGAAGCATGTTCTTCTGCTTATGATGTCCCGGTTTACACTCATAATCTTTCAACATAAACAGAAACATAAGAAGAAAATGAAAAAGTTTTCATTTTCATCTGCTTGTGTCTCTGCTTCTATTTTCCTCGGTTCACACATACAAAATACACTCCTTCTGCTTATGTCGCAGTGTGAACCGGCCCTTAAGTCTGCCATTTTGTTTATAATTTTGAAGTGCCAAAACAAAAAGAATTGCAGACCATCAGTATCTAAAATCCATCTTTTGAAAAATTCTACTTTTAAATAAGATAGTTTTGCTATTTTCTTGATAAACTGGGAGATTTTATGTTGAAATCTTAAGACTGAGAGATACAGCCTACAGTCTTATGATTACTGTATCATCCGCAATAGTTTACTGCCCAGCTTTGAATATAAAAAGGCACCATATTCTGCCAGCAAGGCGACTTGTCTTTGTTGCAGAAGACACAGTTGACACCATCAATTATAGAAATTTAATCAAATACAATAAAAAAAAAGTTAAACAAAAGAAACACACAGCTTTATATTTCTASTACACGAAAGAGGACAATAGTTTGAAGTTATTACAATAGAAATTATCGAGATACATGTAGTTGTAATTGAGTTTTCGTGAAATATAAACAACACTGATAGTAAATACAACTATCAACATATTACATAAACAACCATCTTACCTCGCTGTCGGACTCCACAAGAACTTGGTCGTACTCACTAAGTGCCACTAAGAACATGATTGACGTCACATTTTCAAAGCAATGAATCCACTTACGTCTCTCAGACCTTTGCCCTCCAACATCTACCATTCTGTCAAGAAAACATTAAAACAAAATTTTCAGACAAATTTTTTCAGCTAAACCTTTGAAGGACTGCTAAACATTTTTGGTTATCAAGTTGAGCTTTTGGGCTTCCTGTGTCCAAACGCTTAAATTATGGGTTATTCTGTGTTAAAGCATGGTCTGTGAGAAAGTTTTATGTGAGAGCTGCTAGTTTAAGTGAATCTTTGTAAATCTTTTTGGTACGTTGAGTCATATTAAATCGGATTGGAGCCGTCATAACATGGAAAATGATATTACTTCAATCACAGGCTACACAATAAGACAGGTTTAGTCCTATTGGGATCTTATCAATGTTAGTCCAATCATGTTTACATGGTGAAAATGGAATAATCACAAAAAAATGAATGCTCTGCTCTATTATTTTTTTACTTTATTGTACATTCAACAAAATAATACTTTTTCATTGGTTGAGAAGAGYATAATTGCAGCGTTAATTGTACTCCTTATAAAATTATTGTTTTACTGAAAATCACGCAACCCCTTGTACAATTTGGAATGAATASTCACTCGTAGTGCTTTGAAAGTAACCAATGTTCTAATCACTAGAACTGTAGTCTTTGCTTGTACATTCGATTCCATTCATTTTCATTTTCTGTACTTCGAGAGGCTGTTTGCAATCCTGAGCTATTGGCCCTTTGAGCCCCAAGCAATACATTAAAGAAACAGCTACGTGTATGCCTTGAAGTATTAAAGTCTTAATTGCTGTATCATTATTTTTTGGTGTGATTCATCTTGTCATCCCCCCCCCTCTATATCTGAAAAAAAATGTTTTTTTTGTTTTTGCTGCCATTAGAACTTGAGGACTTGTTTTTGTTTAAAAAAAAAACAGATTTATGACTGCTGTAGTTAGTAATAACTTTTGAGACTAAGATACCACATTATTGAATCACAATTATATACTATATTTGATTAGCAGATGGGCTGACAAATCAACACTGTTTTGTATTTTGATYGTTCAAAGCTTAGGGGTTAACTAACCATCACAGTTCACTGGGTATTCAAATTCATACTTCAGAAATGTTAGCTTACATGAAGGCAGATTTTTACTATACAATTGGACAACTACTAAAAGCAAAGTTTTTTGCCAAACGGGTAAGCAGTTTTGCTTTGAAACATAATCATGTTTATTTGGGTAAAAACGGAACTTGAACATTACCGGTAAGCTTTCTGACCTGTTGACATCTTAAGTGAATTAAGACATAGCGCAGCAGGGACCAGTGTTTTTCAACCTAAAGCTTTCGACACTGGCTTAGAATATTCTATATACAAGTGTGAGAATAACATGTTTCAATGTTTCCTTTCAAAATACACTTAAGTTGTATTTGATTTTTAGGATGTTTCATTTAACTTACTGGGGACGGCAACCCTCTTAGGGCCCCCCTGGGGTACAACATGCTCTACTGTTTCATTCAAATAACAAATAAATGTGTTTGTAGTTAATTCTGAAAATATTCAAAACAGTGTAATATGTAAATGTGGGAATTGTATGCAATGCTTGCTAGTAAACACTGGAATTGTCCAACGGGCAGATTATTATTAGTAAATATAATTAACTATTTCCATTGTTGTTAAGATTATAGTATAGGTGAACGTGACTCTCAAGTAAGTCTGTTGTATGGACTACAAAGGAATTGATCAAGCAAAGATAAATATTATCTAGCTCCAGGTCTTTGCATACTGTCACATGATGACTTTGCACATGTAAAAATACATGTGCCCAAAAAAATTTCAAAGAAACCATGTTCTTTATATTGATGATAACTTTTATGCTTGAAGGAAATGTTTGAGAACTTTTCTCTCTTGTTTTGTAGCTCAATAGTCAGTTACTACATTCTGCTATTCTGCTTGCATCTAAAAATAGTCATCCATATATCTAAATAACAAACAAGGCCTCCATAAAACACTAAAAACATTTTCTATATAGCACACTTTGCTTGAATTAATGAAATTGAATGTCCCAAATTTTAGACTGAATGTTCCCTTTCCTGCCAAAATACAGTTTCTAACTTATAAAATTCTTTTAGGCTCATCTGTATTTAATAACTAAATGCATTGAAAGCAAATCCTTTGGTTTTCAATATACCAGACAAATACATTCAGCAAGTGCACCTTGACAAAACTTTGAAGCCATTTCTAACCGGAAATCAAAGAATGGAGATTGTCGCCACCATATGAAAATAACCAACCAATGAAAATAAAGCCGCATGCTTTGAATTTTGCGCAAACAAATTTATGTTTTGGATTYGAAGAGTAATTCAGTCTTGAAACACAAACATCCGAATTAAAACATCAGTTCAAAAATAATCCGCTAATGTTATATCCGCATGTTACATCCGCATACATATCCAAAAAGGTTATTTACTTTTTAACTCCTCTCCCTGTTTTGAAGTCTTTATATAAACTATCAAATCGCATTCAAGATATATKATTTATTAAGAGATAAGAAAAGTCTACATCAGTCGAAAAAATAGCAAAACATTATGGTCTTTTGGCTTTGTGTCAATACCTCAAGATCAACAAAGAGGATGCCAGAGGGAAAAACACTTCGATTCTGGTTGACAGACAAGGATTTCCCAGTTACAAAAGCTTTTTTTTCAACAAAAGTACCTATTTATCTAATAAAACGAGCCAATTTACATTATCAAAAATTATACAAAAATTAGAGCTTATGCTATTTTTTACCATTTTGTGAATTAAATTAAGTACAAGTGTCTGTAATTTGTAATGGCAATTTGATGCTATTTTGGTTTGCTTTCAGCTTCTGYGCAAATTAATTTAGTTATTTAAGAATAGTTGATGCAGATTAATGAATCAAAATGGTATCATTAATAGTGGTTGTTCTCAATCATTCCCATGAGATTCAAAAGATAAAAGACCAATRTAGTTCCTCAAAAGAGTACTAATTTGAGTTTGTTTATCATGAAAGAAAAGCTGAAAGGCTGTACAGTCTTTTTAATAGATGCACTAGGGTCCTTCACGATGGGCACGCAGAGATACAGATTTTATTTTCAAATGTTGAAAAGATCTCTCACAAGTGAGTGTAGMGAACGAGTGAGAGATTTTCAACGTGAGAAGATAAAATTCCTATCTCCAAGCGACCATGTAATATTCTGTTTATCATATAATTATAAATGAAAGCAAATGAYGTCATAAAATAYCTTTTTTACTTACACTATATAGAGAAACCTCAAATGTAWTATTTTCACCTATGAAAATAACAACTTCATGAAATGGAAAAATATAGGTATTTCATAGGTGATTATATGATAAACAGTTTTATTTCATATTAATTTTTTTTTAAATCTCTGTTTGTCAAATGATTTTTCTATTTTGTCTGTAATAGTGTACYTGTTTATGTACTTGAAYGTTTTGTTGTCTTGCGAAAGCAAACAACAATGTTAAATTGTGTTTCAAACTCCGAATTTACAGCTATCAATAATTTCTCTTTCTTCAAAACCTTATTTATCTCCTATGCGAACACTTTAGCGTACCAATTTTACATAAACATATATATCCTTCTCAGTGGATGCACACCATAGATTGAATCCCATTTCAGTCTTCCTACTGTTTCCAAGCTTTCATGAGCASACATTTTCCATAGAAATTACTTTATCTTCAAAGTTTACTTTTCTGAATAGATTGGACAACAATATTTTATATAAATTCATCATTGAATTAACAACTTGTTGTCCAAGAACAGCTTTCTGCCTAAATATGAAGCTATTCTATGTTTAAAATTGATATAATTTGGAGATGAACAGGTGACGGTATTGTGCAAGGCTGTTTTAGGAATCATAGGCTGGCAACTTTGTTAATGTACACTCAACAATTTTCACTGCTATAATACATGAAAACATTAAGAACAAAATTAACAGTATAAAGTTCCAATAGCTTTTAGTATATCATAATTAGCCTGATTTGTTTAATGTAGAAAAGTCATCAACACAGTATCATTGTAATTTGAGTATAATTCAGAGAAATTGAAAAAGATTTTTATAGACAAGTCAGCTATCACACTTCTATGAATGCAACACACACAGTATCCCTGAGAAACAATAATGATATATAAAAACAAAATGTGTTACAAGGTGTGAAGTTCAAGGTCAAATTGCTGTCACCAATTACATGAATAATTTATGTTTTCAACAAACATTGTCTAATAAATGGAAGAAAATAAATTATATGTATACTACAGGCAAATTAACAAAATTATTAGCACTGTGTATTCATTAGATTGCTGATATTAAAGAATACAATTATACTAAAATATTAAAACACGCAAAACACTTTCAAATATTAAAAGTACATTAACATTTTCATCAGCAAAATGATTTCAAAGAAGGTAAATATAGTACATTTTCAAGAAAATAAACATAGCTTAGAAAAAATTGTGAATTGGAAATCAAAATACAACACAACTGCATAGCTATAAAATTCATGCATGGCTATATGATCTTTTTCAGGGTATAATAATTCTTATTTATATTATATATAATATAGTTCGGTAATCCACCTTTTGTATAAAGTTGGAAAAAAGAGTTACTTACAAGTATTAGAGTATTAGGGTGTATACGTGTTTTCAAAGTCTGATATAATTTTCTTGAAATGATATCCTAAGAGTCCCTTGTACTAATAACCAAAACTCTTTTACCATTTTCTTATTACCATCTTTTCATTTYATTTTATTTCTGTTCTTAGTTGTTATTCCCAACTGTTGGGCTAGAGCTAGTAGAAGTACTMAAAYCAATGACCTTTYAGWTCAAAAGCACTAGYTGYAGAGTCAAAAATCAACATGAAACACTMTTGTGACTAACATTTGGTTTTCCAAGAYGCTCAYRAAAGTTGCTAGGTAAATATTTTCCATTCCTYGAGGTGATAACCTCATGTTTACAAACAAATGCATAATATTTGAATGTTTTAACCATGTTCACAAGAACTTTTAAAAAGTCAGTTTGTTCAGACAGCCAATCAATTTCACACATCAATATGCAATATGAAGCAACRTGATTTTTGAGACAACTTAATGATAAAAAAATGTAGTTTTAACACTTTTWTGTCTGCTGAATTAAAACSTCAAAATTAGAYTCTACGTTTCCTTTACAAAACCGYAGAAAAACTTGCATTTTTAGAAAGAAATAATGMATTCTTGAGAATATTCAAATGGACAGAAAAAATCAAGAGRACTATATTTAACTGCYGTGYACTTTGATCGATAAAATTGTGTCRCCGGACATTTTCCAATGACAAATCAAGACTTTCAACACATAAAGTATGACTATATATAGAACATGTAGGATACCCCTAATACTAGTTGACTGAAATAGAGGTGTTTGGCAGTACAGTTATAATAAATGTAGTACTGTAATATGACCATTTATAATACAATTGCTGCAAAAAAGCCAGAATTCTATAACATTGCATACRTTATTAGAGAAAGTTCTTTCTATTATTAGCATTTTTAAATTAATTCATAAGCCCTTGTTGATGGCACTTTTTTTCTCCAGGAATGAGAGCTAATGTTCTTTAAGAGTAACTTATTCATTGTCTAATATGCAGAAAAATAATTGACAGAAACAAACACAACAGAACAATGTTTGAAAAGACATGGAAGTTTCTCTTAGAAGTAAAAGATATGAATTTACAATGCATTAAAATATAATAACTTAAATACCAATAATGAACTAATCTGTTTTCAATATGCTAAGACTTTGCAGAATCTTTCAGGGCAAAAGTTGACAAAGTATTGATAATATTGAATAAGTTATTAATGTATTCAAATACAAGAAAATGTAAAGCATAAATTTACAGCAAAGTATTTTTGCATTTCAGGACTTATTTGAAGCATGATTCTAAATGTTACAGGAGTGAATATTAATCAGAATAAAGGAAAGCACAAGTACTTTTTAAACTTTAAAGTTTTGGGAAACAATACTGTTCAATGAAAGACACCAAGGAAATTTTCTAAATGATTTTTGATTAAAATATAAATATTTTTCTGATAACAGACAAAAAAAATATGTTTAAAAATAATGCACAAACGGTCAACTACGATGAAAAGCTTTTAGTAGTATGCAGAAAGATTTTAGATGGAAAGTGCTGCCATACCCACACTCCACCAAATGAAGTCAGAAATTATTAATCACTTCGGGATAGGATGAAAATGGGAAATTTGATCAAGAAATGCAAATGCATTACAATAGAAAATTTGTTTCAAGAATTGTAAAAAAGACATGTGTAAGATATGTGTATGATTTTTCAATTGTATGAATGAGAAAACCAAAATGTATAGAAAAGCTTTGCAATCATTATAAAATACAAATAAAAAAGAACACAAGTCTCTAATTTCTACCACCATGTCTAAGCTCAAATTGACAATCAGAAATACAGCAGACATAGGATAATAATCAAGGGTATTACATCTGTAAGCATAACAACAACAACAGAATATGATGTGGTGCACGATTTGAGATTGATGAACATTTTTMTTACCTGAAGATGATGGTCTCCAGGTCGAAGGGGTATTCAATRATCCCAGATGTAGGGGCTCTAGCTCGCAGAACATCTTGCTCTGTAGGTAGGTAATCTGGTTTTGCTAAGCGGTCCAAATCTGTTAGATAGCTGCAATGACAACATGGGGAAAATCAGTWCAAGYAAGGACTGTCTTTATCCAAACATGACCATCCCCAAACGATGACTAGCCCTCCCCCGATTGGGTTCACCTGTGCCGTGATTTTGAGACGATTTTCGATTGATGTGATACTCAGTTCTGCAGACAGGGCACGATAGAATCCTCCCCAAAGAATTCTCGATCGCATTTCAAAGGGAAATCAACAACCTTTGGAACACYGATGTTGCTCCTTTCACGATAGAAACCAACAACCGAACACATGATCATTGGAAACACATTGAAAAGCATTTTCATCCACTGATATATATATATTTAGTTTAAAGGAATAAGAATGAATTATTTTGAAGTAAGACGGAAATTTTCTGGGTAATTTTGTTTTTGCAATACTCGAGACACTCCATGGAACCACTGTGTTGACATTGCTGTGTTCGATTTTGACATCAAACTCGAGGCAGCAAATGGTGTGATCGTTGCTTCGAATCGCATTCGAATCGATCAAATGTTCTCGAAAGACATCTAACTCGGTTACAATGTGCTGATCGTACCTTCAATATGAACATTGGAATACTCACTATTTTGCCGAGTCGCTCAGTTGATACTCTCTTCGCCGATCGTAACACTCTTGCATGCCGGCGTCAGCCCAGAGATTTTTCGTTGCCTCGTAGTACTCTTTTTCAAACGTTGTTACATTTTTAGGATCGACTGTTCTAATGTAGTTTGCTCGTTCCTGAAAGCAATACCACAATCCAGGCGTTAGAGATGGGAGGGTTGGCCAGCTAGACCTTTAAGGGAGCGAGCCATTCGGTTCGTTTGAACACAACCGAGCTCAAAGGACTTCAGACTACAAGCTTGATCTTCTGGTTTTCTAATTCTCTGGTTAGGCATAGATATACTCCTTTACTCACCGGGTTTGACGAGTCTTTGTATGGTATTTTAAGTGTTTCCATTGCCCGGGTCAAACTGTGCATAGCAGTGATCACATTTTGGTATACGAGAGGTATGTATCCCCTTTTATCTTCGTCGCTGTATCCTTGACCGTGAATAATTCGCATTTGTTTTATGAATGTACTTTTGCCCGACTCCCCAGTACCTRGTATACAAATAACAATCCATAGTTAGTGTTGARAATACAGAATTACATTTATTCAGCCCATTGCAACTGTTTGCATCGATCGCTCTGTGTTCGCAAGCTCTACCGAACTAACAATGTCGGAGACAATCACAAATGGAAATTCTACACAAACACCGAACTAAAAATCTATACCGCTAAAAAACTCTCCAGCCTTTCCTCCATTCATCTTGGGACCTAAGATTTGAATGCAATCGGCAGAACATTGTTTTTATGTAAAAGAAATTTGTAATCAAAGGGACTCAGTTTGGTCTGATACGTATAAACATACCGACTCACACAGTCATCGCCTTCTACATCCCTTCACAGAAAGGTCTATAGCCCAACGAAAACTCCAAAAATAGACCACACAATCATTTACCTAGCAGAAGAAGCTTTAACTCTCTCCGCTGGTTTCTCTTGTCTTGTCTAATCTGCTTCTCRATTTCATTATTAATTCTTTTTCTTTCTCTTCTCTCCTCGTTCAAGCAGCAATCCATTGCTTTCGATTTTCAGCAACCGTTCGCCACTGAATTACGTAGCGAAACGGTCAAATCGAAGCTGAGAGATATTTCTCAACGCCTGGGCCGCAATCGGGCAAGAACTCCCTTTAAAAAGGCAAAATTTTTGCGTTTAAACTTGGCAAATCGTAGAATCTTAGGGCGTAGCCGAGCAAACCTTCTCGGTGTTCAACAGTGTACAATGGCTGCTGGGAGCAGACCACAAGTGCAACCCAAATATGGCAATGGCCGCACCCCCATATTTGGAAGTCCCACCCTCATTTGACTTGCTAATGAATGGGACTTGGGGCGCGCGGTTTTTGGTTTTCCTTTCAGCTTGGAATGCCTGTGAGAAATGGAAGTATTTCATAAATTTTGAAATCATTTTTCTTTGGACGATTTTTTTGCTTGAAAACAATTGCATGTATTCGAGTTTATGCGTTATGGCGAAAAAATCGAAAAAATCATGTGAAAACTATATAAAATGAGAATAAAAGTAAAAGAAATTGAATAATTTTCCCATTTAATAGAAGTTCTTGACTAATTTTTTCGTCAGACGAAAAAAAAATATTTTCAGGAATTGAGTGATTTTAGTTATAAAGGAACAAAAATACTGAAAGTTTTAAAACTAGTAAAAATTTATACACAGCCAGAAAGGGTCAGAAAGGAAAACATAGCTGTTGATACTCAGTCAAATGAAATAAGAAAAACATCCAGAAAAAATCAGTAAGAAATGCTATCGAAATGCAATCTGCGCTGATGAAAAATTTTAAGAAATGAATAGAAAATAAATGATTGTTTGTTGAACAAATGGTTTGATGAATAACTTGAAAGAATGAAATATTTAAATTGGTGGATTGGCCGAAATAAATGAAGGAATGACTGGTGAGGTGAAAAAGAATGCAAAGATCGATTGCAGGGATCGAATGATTGACCGTAGGAACTAACAAATGAATAAATAAATGAATAAAAGAGCGGACAAGAAAAACGAGCCAACAAACGAATATACAAACAATTATGATAAATTAACGATTAAAAAAAGACACAAAAATCGCATTAAAATCTATATTAAGCGAAAAACAAGCACATAATTAATTAAGCGTTTAAAACCCTAAACATCTGAAAAAAACTGAAAGCTTGTACGACTTCATCACAGGCAATGAACTTAAAGTTCCAAAACAGCTATTTTCTATTGTATGGACCATCATGCAGTCTTCCAAAAAAAGATTTATCAAACCAATCTYAAGACGATTGACGACGATTTCATACGATAAAATCGTAACAAAATTCTTCAATTCCGGTTTAGGACCAGACCACGCCCTTTCTAAACATTCCTTAAAGACTTGCCGACTRTCGTCATTGAAAACTTTGGTCAACTCAGTATGATAGTGACGTCGTTAGGACATCCTGCTGTGCKGAGCTGTGTGCGAGAATAACTTTTGAAGAAAACCGTCAACATTTCAGACAATATAATATAGGGTTATTTGCTTGTTGCTGCTACTGGTATTTTATTTAGAATGTGTATCTGGCTCCATAAGAATTCCTCAGTTCTCTATGCGAGTTTTAAATCTGCATTTCCTACATCAGTGAATAATATTTTTTTTTATCGCTATTCGTTTCGTTGTTGTTTTATTAAGGATATCTTTGTTCGATAACTGCAGTTTGCATTCTCTTTGAGTGCTTTACAGCGACAAAAATCMTGTTTTTTCGTATCGCTATTTGTTTCTTTGTCGATGCTAGTATGMGAATTTTATTCATGATATAATTTCGCATATGATAATATGTCTCGATTGACATCTGTCATTCTCACTTCTTCTAGCATTKCGTAGTCCGGATTTCGAAAGCTCAACTCACGTGCAACTGATCATTTTTAACCTCCTTGGCAGCCCGCTCTATATGGCGACAAGCGACTACACAAAGGAGGGGCACAAGAAGTTTGGAACAATTATCATTTGAATTCTTCCTCCGTATATCGACACATCTTTTTACAGCAAAATTGTTCGCCTAAAATACAGGAGATAACTAACCTTTGATAATCAGAATCATCTTTATCATCAGTTTTTTAGCATTATCATTGTTATTTATTAATATCAATAGAAGCTCTCCGGGCTCATGGTTATGGAATATAGATCCCTTGCATGTGACGTCAATAGCTTCATCTCGAGGACAAAACAAACGATTCCCATCCTGGGAACTAGATATCGATTGTTTCGTCTTCCACTTAGAGCTGCACTCCCACGACCTGAAAGTCTATTGATCCCAAAAGCCAACAATAGAACACTTTCGCTAAAAACGATACCCAGTTCCAGAGTAAAATCGCTAAAAACGATACCCTGGTTGGCGGCACGTCCCCGTATAGCGAATATAGGTGAGTATACCCGGGGAAAGTATCAACGCAAGCCCTCAAGTGTTTACAATCCTAACAGACAACACTAAAAAATATACCTAAAGTTTTGCTAAATTGTGGCACTATTGCTTGCGTTATATGATCACTTTGGCAGGGAGGGTTTTGTTTCTACCCAGCACCCTCTTCTCCTGGGCTGGGTTGTTCAAAGCTCGATTAGCGTTAATACAGGGTTAACTCCATAGGCTTTCTAAGAGTTAATCCAGGATTAGCAACTCCAGACTTCCGGGAAATCCCATGAGCTGCAACCAGCAGGGAGTTGAGCAAATCTTGAAAATTGTAAAAATATAACATTGAAATCATATCAACCATGGTTGGTGACAATTCATCGTTTGCAATACACGTCACAGTGGCCATATTGGTTTACTCTTCAACAAAGGATTTCTCATTAGTATCTATTGTTCATCCAACCAACATGGCCGCCACGTTTTTGACTTTTGAGGCTCATTAGAATGATTGGAAAAGAGCAGTACGCCGAATCCTTGACATACTATGTGTAAAGCACACTTGAAATCTGCACAAATCCTTGTCAGCGGTATCAGGAGGGCATGGCAGGGAAGGGAGAGGGGAGGCAGTCATGGGATCCAATATATTTTCATCAAACTTGAACTTCAACCAAAGCCATTTTAAGAAAAAAAATGCATTGTAGCTGTCGTTGGGACTACTAAAATAAAAATATCTTTCCCAGACTCTTATCCCTTTCTCTGAACCGATAGATAAGGACCTGGGGACGAGGTTGGACATAAGACATATATGGTCGAAAATCTAGTTCCGATTCAAACAGATTCGTCCGCTCTTTTAGGCGTGTTTAAGGAAAATGGTCATTTCATATACTAAATCTACATGCGGATATTTCAGAATATCAGTTTGAATACTGAGTTTTACAAGAGAAACCGTTGCATGCATCGCGACTTCAATGTTCAAAAGAAATCCGTTAGGATTTAGGTTGTTTTGCGACCTGGGGGCGGAGCTTGCTGCAAATCAGCCAATGACTGAAGGAGTTTAACAAAATCAAAACAAACTTCGAAACGAAGAAGTCGCGATGCAACGATTTTCGCTGTAATTCAGTAATAAAATACTGACATGGCTGACATGGAATTATAAGCTTATAATAATGTATTTTAAAGACCACAATGCATTTCTTTGTTTAAGCGCAATGCATCTTGGTCTTTATATCGCAGTTCAAAAGCGTTTTCGTGTCTGGACCACCTCTGTTCAACTCCAATCGAAAACAATTAAGCTTAAAATTTGGAGTTACATTCCAACAATGCATTGCAGACTCGGAACGCGCACTGGGAGTACAAACACAAAAACCATAAAAAAAAACTTTTGTAACACTGAATTACCCTTAGTTTTCTACTGTCTAGACTATATTGCGCTATTTAGAACTGTTTGTTTCTTTCATTTTTATGGTCTAGTATCAAATTATTTAGTCAATCAATGTGAAAGGCGTTGATAACAAGAAGCGACAAAAGATTACATATTTCCCTCGCGGCGTATATGGCATGTATTCGGAGTGCAAAAGCCTAAGTAAATGTAAGCGCTATCTGACTATTATTCAGCTAAAATTTTGAATTCAATGCAAGATGATAATGAAAGCAACGAAATATTGCAATACAATTAATTTGCATTCGCTGAATATCGAAACATATATAAGGGATATCGATCTTTTCTTTAAGTCGTGTAGCGGTTTTTCTGCTTAAAATCACTTCCTCAATCCACCCACAATCGTTCTTTGTTCACTGTTTTCCTGTTTGCTAATTGACTACTGTAATTTGTGGTATTAATTTGCGCGCATCCCACATATCCCATGAT